GCCAGGGATCATCACATGGCACACCTTTGATGCATCTGTTTGTGTTTGTTTGAGGATTGTGACGAGACCGTATTGTGTGTGCTTAACGATCTCCTGGAATTTTCAGAATGCTGTGGCTTGGTCAACACCATCAGTAAAACTATATCATGTTAGTGGAGATGTATCTTAAGATAAACCCATTGGTTTTGGCATTTATTGTTAATTGAATTTTCCCAGAAATGGCAGCAGAGAGATGGTTAATGTTCCTGAATTTACATCAAGTTAAACATCTGTTCCTCTTAAGCTAAACTCCCGTAAAGTTATGGCAGCTCATAAATTAGATCTGGGAGTAAGATGCTTTCTGCTCTCTGCACAGCTTAACAGTTTCAAAGCAGACCTCAGCATGACACATGGCATCACAGCCACATTCAGCTGTGACATCAGTGCCAGGCGACGGAGCCAGGTTTTCGCTTTGGTGGGAAAGATCACAGCTTTGTCAAGCGGCAGGTGCCATTGCCTCCCAGCTGGGTGCAATGTGGCGCCTGGGATGCTACTGTTTGCGTGGGGATCAGGGGGAGCCTGCCCACCAGTGACCCTATAAGCCAGGGGCACATCTGGTCTCTCCCTTGGGGCTCCACTGGGGGTTCTCCCGTGTGAGGGTCTCGGGCTCTGAGCCGAGGGGCTGGCTCTCTGCCAGGCCAAGAAGGGCGAGAGTCTAGTGGGTGTGACTCTCAGGCATGGCTGGCTGCTGTGTGTTTCTGAAGGGACGGCCTGTGTGCCTGTGTGGTGCCTACACCCACATGTTGGAATCTCAGGGCATGGTGCACCAGCCAGCCCCCGCAATGGAGAAAACTGGGCCAGTGAACGAGAGGGTTCGGGGAGGGGGGGTGCGGGAGAGGGAGCAAGTTGGAGAAGGAGACCCGAGGACGTGGTGCAGGAATGGCTGGGGGTGGGGAAGGAGGAAAGGCAGGCCCCTTCCTGGTCACCCTCACCGCCCTCCCTCCCTGGTGCAGGGTCTCTCCTGCCTCTCCTCACCTGCTCTGGCTGCTTCCTGTGTCCGGGACCTGGGCCTCCAACAGGCGCCTTCACCACATGATCTGTCTCACTCGCAGCATCTGAGCTTCCCTGTATCTGGGTGGCATCTCCCACCTTGTCCACATTCTGCAAACCCCCCTTCCCTGGCCCCTTTGGAGCTGCCAGCCGCACCCATACCCAGGGCTGGGAGCGTCGCCTGCCGCAGAGTGACGATGGTCCCTGCGAGGCCGGAACTGGCCCGGCGCGCGGCTGATGGACGTTCACAATGTCTCTCTTGCTTCCCTTGGTTTTGCAAGAGAAAGTGTTCCTTTGATGGACATTTAATTCCAGAGGCTGCTACCTGCTTCCCGTCTCTCTTTACTCAAAAAATTAAACGCGGATGTGCCTGTGCCGCTGCTATAATAATCTCCCTCGGCCCGAGGGAGTGTGGCTGGGATGGGAGAACATTAGGATCTTCAAAGGGGGACAGTTATTGAGGGAACTAGATTAATGAGGTGTCATCACAACTTAGCCAGATCTGCGGCTGACCTTTCTCATGGAGAACGGGCTTGATAAATGTAGTTCATTACCGAGTTCTGACATGAAAATAGGATCCCACTCTGGGCTCCTCAGCGGGCTGATCAATATTTTATCTGCCAAAGCAGGCCTGGCCTGGCAGCGGGAGGAGCCCCGCACACTCGTGCTGGCAGGAAGCCCAAGGCCAGTGCCAGGGGCTGGCCAGGCCGGCCCTGCCATGTGGAGGGCACCCAAGCTGGCAGGCGGGGGATGCCCGTCAGTGTCAGGCTGACCAGGACATGCACCTCCCTCTGTGAGAGGCCCCCCGGGGAGCATGTCCATGAGCAGTGGGAAGGGAGCGAGGAAATGTTCTGTCTTTCCAGGAACACCAATACAATGGCCACCTGTGCCAGGTGCGGGGCACTGGTGATGGGGACAGACAGGTGAGTCATCCAGAGAAGCCTCAGGCCTGGCCGACCATTGGGCTTGGCAAAGGCCTCCGACATTTCCTCTGATGCAGCGGCTTCCAACCAGGTGCCTCCAAGGGCACCGTGGGCGCTGCGAGAACTTCTGGCACACGCAGTGCCTGCCTAGTCCGTCGGGGGCACTGACCTCTTTTCCCTTAGATTGTCAAATACGTTTTAAAAAATGACAGGAACCAACACAGCAATAGCCATCCAGTATGAATGAATCAAAATTATACCCATCTTTTTGTCAGACCAGCAAAAGATACCTTTTTGATGCGCCACCGAATTTTAGTGATTCGTTTATGTGTGCCATGAGATGACAAAACGTGAGCATTTACTGTCATGACCCTGTAAGGTGGTGAGAGACTATTTTGCCCCCATTTTAAGGTGGAAAATGGAGGAGGAAGGGCAAGGGCACCTGCAAGCCCTGCTGCCTGGCATGCTGTTCCCTGTGCCATCTTCTCCCCACACTCTCTCATCCTGCAGGTCTCATCCTGAATGCCCTCCCTCATCACCCACCTCCCAAACCCTGGGTGCTCAGACCAGAGTCCCACTGTCTGCCCCCAGGGTGCTGCCCAGCCTCTGGCACAGAGTTTGTAAGTCAGTGCTGGACCGGAGGAGCAGGGCAGGGTGGGCTCTCGCACGGGGCAAGACCAAGGACTCGGGGAGCTGACTCTGGACGCTGGGACTCCACCCTGTCCCCCAGGCTGCTGTCTAGACATGTGCCTACCCTCCTGGCCAGGAGGCCTGTGCTGGGCCATGGCCAGGGTGGAGGAGCAAAAGCCTGTCATCCACAGTGCAGTGCAGGAATATGGTAGAGGGGCGGGGCCTGGGGGTTGCTGCAGCCCTCTCCCCAGGACCCACTGCCAGGTGGAGATGCCGCTGAGCTAGAGACTCCTGGCCTGGGCCCCAGGCAGTTCAGAGGAGCTCTGCGCTCCACCAAGGCCTGTGAGGACGGTCGGAGGCTGTGGGGGACCACTGAGAATAAGACATCTCTGCCCAGCTGGCCTGTCCTGGCCCATCCTTCAGGGGCCCTGCTGCGGTGTGTCCTCAGGAGTCTGACTGTGCACTAGCATTTCCGAGTCAAGCCTCCCGTTGACCCATAGGCCCTGTGTCCATCTGCAGTGCGCAGCGACCCCACAGCACAGGCATGAATGCCGCTGCCGGGAGAGCCTGGCCCTCAGGACAGGTCCCCACAGATCCCCACACAGAGGCGCCCTCACCTCCTACACCAACGCTTCGGTCTCAGCTCCCGTACACCTCCTGGTCATTTACCAGAACTGGACTTAACCCTGTGGAGGACAAGGGGGCAACATTTATCACTCTCCTTCGCCAACATTGACCTTTATCCAAGCCTGGCAAGAAGGGAAACCCAGCAGGCTGCCCCGTCTTCCCCCGGACAGGAATGTTTCTATAGCAGGACAAGGCCACTGTTTCCAACACTGTGCAGCCGCACAGACTTGAGGGTCAGGTATGCCAACCGGTGGCACCAGGCGCTCCCCGGCATGGGTACCCAACAAGTCAGAGAGGGCACCGGCACGGTAGGGGGATGGGAGAGCCAGGCCTGTCAGAGCCTGGAGCTCTCAGAGAACAAATAGATTTGATTACATTGAACACAGCAATTGATTTTTTTTTTTCTAAATAAACATGCAGGAGGAAATGGTAACAGGCATCTGTTTCTGACAAGAATCAATTGACCTCAAATTGGAAGAAAATCTAGAAACACAAACAAGCACAGGAGAGAGCGGTGGGGCCGCCCAGGCTTGTCTGGGGAGAACAGGAGGGAGAGCAACAGACAGACTCCCCTCAGCCTCCCCCCATCAATAGCCTCCTTGCTTGTTGCTCTTCCACAAACGTGGTCCCACTGATGACAAGGAGAGAAGAGCTGTTGTTGGGTGAGCCCTCACTCTGTGCCACGCCGTGCTGATCCCTCTGTGTGCATATCTCATTTAATCGTCGCCGTGGCCTGTGCGGGAGGCCGCCGTGGGAGTGTGCCCTCCCACTTCCTATTGGAACCACGGAGGCGCCTGGTCCACGGTGCAGGTCCCGGCAGCGGCAGGGCTGGGGCTGAAGCCCAGTGGACTCGAGTCGGCGCTCTCCAGCCCTGCGTTACCGTGACTGTCCCAACCCCTGGTTCTCCTAACTGGCCTGGGAATGAAGAGGTAGACTCAAGGCCCCAGACAGTGCATTCCCAGCAGCACCTTGGCCCCCCACCTGGAGTGGACGGAGAGGGTCCCCCCAGGGCTCAGGAAGCCCTGCACCCCAGGGAGGCGAGGAAGCGGGGCTGGAGGGGCTCCCTGCTCTGCCAGCACCCCGCGGCCTCCGGTGCAGGCTGAGCCTCCTGTGGAGTTTCTCCCAGTGTCCGGTCGCAGTGCATTCCAGGCCTCGCCCGCCACAACGCCGCGTGGCCCTGATGCTGAGCGGCAAGCAGGCCTGGGTTACAGCCCCGAGCGAGCGGCTATGAGCTCCGGTGTGGATTTCCTGAAGCTCCTTTGTTTCCTGGCTGTCGACGTGCGTACACGTGTTTGTTTTGAAGTAATCCAGCTCTGGGAGTGCACCTAATTAACTTAAGCAGGGCGTCTTAGTCCTGTTAACTAAAACTCCCAAATCCAGGAAGCCAAGGATTCAAAAGCAGCCTTTCAGGGAGGATTAAGGCAAAGACGAGCTATTACAAAGGGAAATTGGGGCCAGCTTCCCCGAAGCCGCCGTGGGGCTGCCGCTGTGAATCCCCCTGGTCAGACTCCCCCGGTCCGTCTGGCCATTGTTCTATGTCTGGCACATAGTAGGTGCTCAGCAAATCTCTGTGGGATGGGCAGGCAGGCTCTGTCCGGCATTTGCATCACGTGTGGCATGTATTCGGTGCTCAGTGGATAGCTATGGGGTGGCTTAGTGGGCAGGCAGGCAAACAATTCCCATCAGCCCAGTGGCACCCGCACTGCACGCAGGAAATGCCCAGAACGGACGAAGGTTCTCGCAATGCCCTGGGGAAGAGTCTCACTGCATTAACCCCTTCTCCCCCTCCAGGAGACCCGTGCACCATGGCCAACTACGCCCGCCTGAAGAACGTCCTCCTGGCACTGCAGACCCGCCGGCAGCCACTCCCAGAGGGGGCCAGCCCCCCAGACCCGGCCTCCCAGAAGCGCCTCCTGGTGGAATCTCTGTTTAAGGACTTGGACGCAGATGGTGACGGTCACCTCAGCCCCTCGGAACTGGCTCAGGTGAGTATGTCGTCCAGTGAACACAAAATTAAGGGGGAATCGGGTTTTCCATCGAGCATGCCCACGAAGAGAACCTGGAGATCACGTGAGGAGAGTGGTTGGTCACTGTCTCTGTGCTGGGACGCCTGCAAGAGAGCCTTCCCCAGGGAGCTGGAGAGCGAGCGTGTGATCAGGGCCTCTCAGAATCTCTTACAAACAATCTCTTACGCCCGTGTCTTCTTCCCACCGGCCACCTTCAGCCAATATTTACAAACAAGCTTCGACACACTCGCAGGAAGCTGGCAAAACACACACTTCGGGGGGAGGGCTGGTCTCTGATTGTGTCTTTAGGAAATAAACCTTCTCTCCCATGCATCTTGGACTTTCCCCGGCGGGAAGGCTAAAGGAAGCAGGCTGGTTTCACCACACACCTGGGGCTGCAACCTGGGCGTCCCCACAACCCCCCCGTCTCACTGTTCTTTAGTACCCAGATATCAACGGCCCAAGCCCCAGCGCGCTTACTGGCACAAAGCCCTGTGTCCACCCCTAAGCATGGCTCTTCCTCTGAGAAAACACTTGCATCAGGCCCTGCCGTTTGCCTCCCTCCCCAAACCCAGCGCGTGTGTCCGGCCTGTGCAGCTACAGGGACGTGCGAGCGCAGTCAGCTTCTGTGGCAGAGAGACACGGGGAGGGAACAACCAGGGCCAGTCATCGCCAGCTGTGGGGAGGATCTTCCTGGCCGGTGGCAGGAAGGCAGGCAGGGTGGGCCTAAGCGCCTGCATTCCTGCTCCTGCCCCGCTGGTTTGCCTTTAAGGACCTAGGGCTCTTGAGCCACATCAGGCAGGTGCAAAGATTTGCCAGGAAGGCAAGGTCGGCCTCCCCAAGCAGGGCGGTGGGCGTGGGAAGCTCAGAGACTGAGTGCCCACTATAGGACAGTCACTATAAAGAAACCCCTCACATGATGTGGTGACTAGCAAAATGGCCAGGTCACCAGGAAGGCCTGGGCTGGGGCGTGCCCTAACCCTTACGAGCACCGTGTGTGCTTGGCAGTGAGCCAGGCCGTGGCCTGCGATGTAACAAGCAGAAGAGGGCCTTGCTGTGCGGGGTAGTAGCTGAGAACACAGCATTTTCTTTCTTTTTTTTTTAAATATATATTTTATTGATTTTATACAGAGAGAAAAGGAGAGAGATAGAGAGTTAGAAACATCGATGAGAGAGAGTCATCGATCAGCTGCCTCTTGCACACCCCCTACTGGGGATATGCCTGCAACCAAGGTACATGCCCTTGACCAGAATCAAACCCGGGACCCTTCAGTCCCCAAGCCGACGCTCTATCCATTGAGCCAAACCGGTTCCGGCATGCCTCCAGCATTTTCTGGCTGGTGGGTCTTGGGAGACACCTCGCCTCTCTGCGCCTCCATTTCTTGTCTGGGACCATCGGGAGGGTTAAACAACTAAGGCCTGATGTGCTGGGCACGGTGCTGGGCACGCAGCACGTTCTCAGGAGGTGACTGTGGTCAGTATCGATGTCCTCATCATCAACGTGGTGCCTATTACTTCCTCCTGACCCTTTTCAGCGTCCTCTGCTGTGGGGCAGGCACTGCTGTTGCCTCCACTTCCCAGAATCAGGCAGCTCGCCTGGGTTTGTTCACTGCTCAGGCATGATGGCACCAAGAAGAACCCCAGGTGGGCTGGTGGGCGTACACCTGCTCTCCTCACAGCATGGCTCCCACCAGGAAGTTCCACCTGGTCCTCTCAAGGTCTATGGGGCCAGCAAGTGCCCCCAAAACCTGAGTATGGAGCAGCCGCCCAAAAGCCCTGCCATGCAGAGTCCCCCCTCAGGGACCCCTGCTCCAGCCAGTCCAGAGCGCACTTCCTGGGAACACATGCAGACCCCACTCTTGTCACCCACACCTGGACAGCACACCTTCCTCAGCAATAGGCCCAGCGATGGCTAGGACCCCAGGGGGCAGGGCCAGCACCCCACAGGTGACCCGAGCTGTGCTGGGAAAGCCCGGGTCCTGTTGGTGACGGTTGCCTGCAGGAGGAACCGCCCGGTGATTCCCCGGCCACAGCGGTGCAGGCAGCAGCCTAGGGCAGATGCTTGGCTTGGCTTGGCCTGGACAGAGGCTGCTGTGGCTCTTGGCCCCCAGCCCCTGTGGCTCCCAGGTGGCTCAGTCACGTTGCTCTAACCTGGCAGTGGCGGTCCCCGAGGCCCCTGGAGCCATTAACGAGCGTGGTAATTGGGTTAACGTATTTATCGTCCATTTCACATATCTGCCAGGCAGCGCCCAGCTAGAGGGAGCCTTGCCTGGACACTGGCTCAGAGGTGTCGCGGAAAACCGTGAAGGCCCTACGAGACGTTAATCAATTTCCAATGCAGAAATAGACAAAGGGAAATTTCCACCCCCAAAGATTGATTTCGGGCGTTATGGTTGATCTCCCTTTTATCGACCACTCTTACTTGCTGGGTGAAGGGTCATTTTTTTTTTAACATTATCACATTGAATTGCCTTTAATATAGCAGACCCAGCCGAGACTGTTAAATAAAGAGAAAATGCCTCTGTCCCCCTCTTCCCCGACCCCTCGAATAAAATGAAATTCTTTCCTTCTTCTGAGGTTTCCTTCTGAGCATTTTTTTTTTTTTTTTTTTTTTTGTAAGACACACCAGCTGAGCCCCAGCTGAGCGAGGGTGCCAGAAATCTCTACCTTTAGAGACCTTTGGCCTGTGGCTGGTCATGCTGGGGAGGACTCCATGCCCTGTAGCCTAGGCCACCATGATCCTCTGCCAGGGTCCCAAGGACAGACATTCTGCCCCTGGCAGGCCGGGCAGGCAGAGGCGAGGCTCAGGCTCGGTCAGTAGAATGGCAGCCCTCCCTCTGTGGGGCTGTGCTGTGTCTAGGGGGCACAGCCCTGAGATTGCAAGGGCTGGTGGGAGAGACCTCTGTTCAGCCATATTTATTTATTTGCTGAATTTGTTTGATCAGGCCCCTTCTCTTCTCTGGTTCCCCATGGATAGCAAGAAGGATAGAGCAGGCGGCCTCAAGGATCCTTCTGACCTCCGACCCTCTGGGGTCTGTCTGCTCAGATGGGGAGAAGATACATCTGAACACTAATTCCCAACCACCGTGTGACCTTAAGAAAGCCCCTCCCCATTCTGAGCCTCACTTTTCTTATCTATAAAATGGAAAGGTCAGACAAGACAAAACCAGAGAGTTCCAGATGCTTCCCATGGCCCACTGAGCTGTTACTGATTCCTCACCCAAATGGCCTGAGCCACGTTCCAGCAAAGCCCACAGCTGAGCTCACGCCGGCTCCGGCCTTGTTCCCTCCCTCACCCACAGCACGTGCTGAAGGAACGGGACCTGGAGGAGAGCTTCCTGGGATGCTCCCCAAGCGACCTCCTTCGATTTGATGACTACAACAGGGACGGCTGGCTGACCCTCCGCGAGTTCTACACGGCCTTCCGTAAGTCAGGCCCCCGCCGGCCGGCCGGGCAGACGGGCTGTGTCCGCAGGCATCCCCGCACCAAACTGCGTCAGGGCCTGGCGTCTGTCCTTGGTCTCCAGGGCTGGTCTCTCTCCCGGATGAAAGCGGTTGGGCTTGCTCTGCAGCGAGCCTGAGCTTGCAGAGGGGAAAGGCGTGGGTTGGGAGAGGAGATGCTTGGTCTCTTCCTTTGGATAAAGGACCTTCTTGCCATCGTCGGGAGGAGCACGGGACTGTGATTTACGCGTGATTGGGCGTGCACCGCTGGGTACCTCAGGGGATGCTGTGCCTGAACGTGGAGGGAGCAGACTTTAGGGCTCTCCCTAGGCTGTGGCCCCCACGAGGAAGGTTCTGGAGGCTGGGCCAGGCGGGAGAGGGAGGTAACGTGGTGCTGGGGTTGATTTGGAGACCTCTGTTCAGCCCCAAAGAGATGAAGCCCATTGACTCAGACAGTGTTCAGGCTCTGCTTACAGCAGGTAGCATGTGCGCCCTGTGTGGTGTGTCCTTGCACTTGACCTTCAGGTCCTGGAGTTTGAGAGAGATAGGTGTGAGACACTCCCAGGGTGCACTGAGCCTCTGAGCCACAGACCCTGCCCCTCTGCCCCACCCCACCCCTCCCTGGAGCTCCACTTGCAGGAAGGTGCCTGCTCCCTGTTGACAAACACCCACAGGCCTGGGGAGGAGTCCTTGGCAAGTAGGGCTCTTGTAGCAGATGGAAGAGGCACTTGTGTGACATAAGAGAAGAGCAATAAGTGTGCTTCTTGCCCGCAGGAAATGTTCATGAACTTGATGTGGAGATACCTTTCCATTCACAGCATCCCTGTTGCCAAGGACCAAGGCCCAGGCCCAAGCACAGGGCTCTGCTTGGAATGCGGTGACTAGGCATGGCTCCCCATGTTCCTCCTCCCTGCCCATGTCCGCTCTAACAGTGATGTCTGCCATAGGATAGGTCAGAATACGGTGTGAATGTCTGGCAGGCTTAGCCTGCTGTGGAGGGTGTTGGCTTTGTGGATCAAGGAGCTTATTCCCTGAAATGAACCTCTAAATTTTAGAATGTACAGAAGGATCCGCAGCTCCCTAGATCTAGTTCCTAAGAGCCCCACTGTTAGATTTTCAGGAATTTTCAAGACAAACAAACAACTGGTAGCCTTGAATGATCCATGGTGGGAGTATTTACACCACAGCAATGACACAAAAAGGAAGGTAGGGGTCTCTGTCTTCTGGAGAGCCAGCTGGTAAGCATTGCCCTGCACATCACTCCGGTCCCAGAGTCCAGCTCCTACAATATCCTCTCTACCTACCTTCCCCAAACCGAGGCCTCCTGATGGCAGGGAAGTGAGGCCCCCACAACAGGAAAGCAACATCCCATGTTCTAGGACACTTCTGAGACAAAGGAGCTGCGAAGAAGGAGGTTGGCGCATTTTAAAAGCCAGGGGCCAAGGCTAGACTTCAAGACTTGAGAGGGTACATCAGGTATCCCACAGCAGCACATTCCGAGGGAATGGCACTGCTCACGCACTGTCCAGTACCGCAGGAGCCTCTGCTCAGGAGCTCTGTTCCTGGGAATCAGTCTGCGGCCAAACAGGGAGCTGTTGGCGGTTTTCATAAGGTGACAGAAGCATCCCTGATGCCCCAATGGAGAGAAGGCGCCTGGCCTCCCTGATGACAGTCCTGACAGCCACGGGACCAGCCCCGTGTCTCACACTCAGAATGGTGTGTTTCCTTCATTCCTGGGCGATTATTTGAAAAGCACGCTGATCATCCTTTTTAAAACAAATTAGATTCTGCTGTCATCTTGGACTTGTTTTGAGGCAGCCAAACCATTCATCATAGCCCAACCCAAATAATAGATATGCAATAAAATGTAAACTCACAGGCATTAAGGAAGCCACAGGATGAGTTAACCCACCATAAAGGCCTGGCGGGTGGCTACTTGGGGCACGCGGGATCAACCGTCTTTCAAAGTCACCGGAACTCTACACTGAATTCCCAGAGCGCGGGGATGGATTTATGGCTCAGCGAATGTTAAATAGGCAATTGAAGTAAGACGTGTTGGTACAACTCATTACCCAGAAATCAATGGGCATTAAAGAAATCTCACTACAACTCAGAAAATAGTAGTAGCTCAAATATGTCAGCAACCTCATTTTGGATTTAAATTTTAAAGGTTGATTTTAAATTCTTATTTTCTAGTCTATTTTACCAGGGTCCTTTCGGTACCAGGCAGGGTGCGTCCTGGCATTTTCCCGGGAGAAGTGGGTTGTATTTACAAGTGTGGGGGCTGGAGCCTCCTACATCACATCTGCTTGTGCAGCTGGCACTGCCGTTCATCGGGAGACGTGCTTGTCATTGTCCGCAGCTGCTGAGGGCGATGTCAGGAATCTCAGGGCTGCCGGTTGCCCATGCTCAGCCGAGCTGGTTCCTGGTGGGCTGTATCATTCTCTGCAGATCAGTTGGCCCCTCCCCAGGGAGGAGAGCAGAGGACAGGTCCCTCAACCATGGAGTCAGTTCAGCCTCTTTCTAACTGTCAGATGGAGCAAAGCCCCCAGTCACCCATCTCTGTGCAGTGAAATATGGTGGTGGCCTCCCTCTCATCTCCTTTATCGCCCAAGCAATCTGTGCAAGTTGTTTTTGGTTTTCTGAATCCCCGGCTGACCCGGGAACTATAGGCACAGTGCCCCCTGCCCTTTCTCCTGGCCCCACCCAGCGAGCAGCAGGACCAGCCGCTAGTCCAGGCTGCAAGGGAGAGGCCCGGGCCCCAGACTCCCTGTGAGCAGCATGTGCGCCAGCCCTGCCTGCGCATCACAATAAATTAATCTGAAAGTCGCTCGTTTAAAAAGCTGCTCCATAATGCATGTTTTTGCTCTTTCCTGAATGCTCGGGCTGGGATCTTGGGAAAACCATGTTGCTTAGATGAGGATTTTTTTTTTCTTGCTTCAAATGCATTACAAGTTTCTCCTGTTTTTTAGAAAGATACTTGTTCTTTTAATGAATCCTGTGAGAGCAATGTGTGGGATGCCAAGGAAGGGTCTGAGCAACTAGCCGTGCGGGAAGGAGGCCTCAGGTGTGGCCGTTCTGGGAGGGCAGATGCAGTGTCCAGAGGAGCACCCGAGTCTGGGGGGCCGTGGGGAGTGGGCTGTGCGGGCCGCACACTCTCCCTCAGCTCCAGGCAGGCCGGCAGGCAGAAAGACAGGGATTTCATCGAATTATTGCAATACCTCGGTATCCAGGGCAACTCTGTGAAACCGATGAAATGGTCACCCAGTGAATTACCAGCTGTTTTTTTGCATTGTTGCTACAAAACGAAAGGAAGGAGCCATGTCATCATCCCCTAGAATAAATCATGCCGGCACAGGTCAGACCCCAGGCCAGACACACCACCTCAATCAGTCCTCACAGCCGCCGGGGATAAGCAGGGTGACAAAATTCAATGGTGAGTGGATTTACTCACGCAGGTAGTTCAGACAGGGAGTTTGGATGTCAGAGGACCGCCTCAGCCTCCCACTGGTTCCTGAGGGTGGGATTGTGAGTAGCTAGACTTCAGACGGCATGGGATTTATCAAAACTTATATCTGAATCCATTTGGCTCTTGAGTTTGGAGAACAAGTAATGCCTGCGCCCCAGTGTCAGTGTGTGCTGAGGTGGGATCATTGGCGTGATCATTCCCCTAATCCCAAAGGGTCAAACCGGCGTTGCTCACGCAGATCAAGTTGAGAATTCACTGCTTTTGTTGCCTCATTTTCTCAAGGGCAAACTACAGTTAAGTTGGAGTGGCTGCGAGTTGGGAGTGGGGGGTGGAAATTGGAAGACAGAAGATGCTGTGAGTCTCACCAACCCCTTCTAAGGGCAGACATGGGGGTATTTCTCCTCCTCACCTCAAGCACGGAAAGAGGGGCTTCCAGGAGGCTCCCCAGGAGCGCCCGAAGGCAGTCCACATGCCATCTGAGTGGTTTTGCTCGTCAATATTTCAGTTACTAATGAGCTCACCTAACACTTACCATGTGTCAGCTCTGTGTATTATGTTCCTGTTTTACAGATGAAGAACTGAAACTGAGGGAAATTAAGTAACTGACCCAAAGTCACACAGTCAACAGAGAGAAGAAGTGGGATTGAATGCAAATGCCTGATTCTGGAAACTTCTCATACATTTAAGCACACTTTGCCACTCACTAGAATTCCCCAGTCATGAGACTCTCACTGTCCCCACAGTTGGTTCCCTAAATGGCGGTCTCCTGCTCCAGGAAGTCTTCCTTAACCCCTCTTCCCCCTCCCCAGCTCCACACACCTTCCTCTGTGTGCCCACAGCCCTGAGTTTTTCTCTGCATGGTAACCAGGCTGTGGCCTGTTTGTTAGGGATGTAGACTAAGTCAGACCTTGTTCGAATCCTTGTTCTGCCACTTGCCGGCAGTGGGACCATGGACAGCTCTTGACCAGAGGTTACGCTGGGTTTCGACTTCCTCTCCTGTACAGTGGGCAGAATCACCTCTGTAACTGAGCAAGGGCACCCTGCCCGCCACGCATAGAAGCCAACACCATGGCACCAGCTTTTGGACAGGACACGAGGGTTAAATCTGCCTCCCGATCGAGGGTTTGGGGTGGGACTTAAGGGGCTGCAGCACCAGCTTTTCCTAGACAAGGGACCTTTGCTTCTGCAGCGGTTCCAGAATTCGGGACCCGCTGTGCCCCTGCCTTTTGGTTCTGGGAGGGAGGACACTTTGGTCCAGGCTCTCCTCTGCCCGTGCCATGGCTGCACGGCTTACAGCTCTTTCTGTCTTCTCTGGCAGGACATGACCAGTCGGAGCTGGTCTGCGGTTACACCCCACATAGGGTTACTCAGGACTAAGTGAGATAACACGGGTAAAGCGATGAGAATACCTTGCGTGTAGCCGTGCTAAGTAATTATTGACCAGGTAGGTCAGTGTTGGGGGCAGTGACACTGGTGAGAAAGCCCCTCCCTCCCAGCCACGGTCACACCGTGCGGT